CAATTTTATTTATTGCTCTGTAATTTTATTTATTTTATTTATTGCTCTTTTTCCCCTCACACTGTAAAGGGAGAAATACCTTTCAAATAATTTTCACGTTCAAAATTGTTTTTATTACAGCTTTGCCATATAGCAATCTTTTTATTAGATACTATAGGCCATGTTGGATGCCTGTATCATATACCTTGATTTTATATAGTTTTTTTTTCCTGTAAAATGATTTAAAGTGAAAAAAAGGCTAATAAAAAACCAAACTCTGATGGCCCAAACCCTGAAACCATGTTGCACTGTTCTTAGACCTGTCCTTCATATGTTCCAGAAGACAATTCAGACAGTCTGTTATCTCAAGGTGATCTTAACCTGAGACCAAAATTAAACATTCTAATGGAGAAACTTGATTTGACTAGAAGTATGTCTGTTTTGGAATGAAGAGAAGTAAGCAGTATATAAGAATTGTTTTGAACTATTTATTTTGAAGGGAGTACATGAGGCATGCATACCCCAGCTTTTAGTGCTATACAGAAATAGAGAACCAATCTTGCTTCAATTAATGAAGGATTGATTGCATTTAATAGCCTCCTTTATGAAAGACATAATTTACCTTCAAAGCTTTATAATGAGCAAACCAACTGCCAGATGAGGAAAATAATGCACGTAGATAACAATATGTGGGCATTTGTTTAATGAATGAGTCAGTTATCCACTTATATTTGGTTTTGATGAAAAGCTTTGTCACATTCGCTTTTTCATATTTAGTTACTTTCCTTGACAATAATTATTAAAGGCCAGTTATAATCTACCTATGCCAATCTGACTAAGAGATAAAACAATCACATTATAAAATAAAAGAAGACAAACAATTAAGGCTTCTTTCACATACTTGAACTACAAACTATGGGTTTCTTCTCAGATCTAAAACAATTTACAGTAAGTTAAATAGTATTGGTATAAGGACACAGCTGCGTTTGACACTACGAGCAACTGGGATATTGTCAGATGGAAAACCATTTCATGAAAATTTTGCAGGTATATTAGAATTTTATCCAAATCAAATATTGCTGATCAATAGTGGAATTGGCTAGTTTAATCCAAAGTTTATTCCTATCAAATGCAGAACCAAAGTAAATTAATGCAACACATAGTTTTGTTTTATTTTGTGCTGTATACTTAACAGTTTGGCCAGTAGTAAATAGTGAACTAGTTTGGATATCCAGCTCAAAAATCAGCTTATTATACAATACACGGTGGTGCAGTGGCTTAATGACACTGAAAGTTGCCGGCCAGAACTGGTCGACACTTCAGCGGTTCGAGCCCAGCTCCACGCAGCAGAGTGAGCTCCTGCTTCCTCCCCAGCTCCTGCCAACCCAGCAGCTCGAACTTACGTGAGTAGATAAATGGGTACTCTCACCCCAGTGGGAGGAAAAATGCTGGCAGCGCTTGCACGGGAGACGGGACCAGTTGCCGGTAACGTGGAAGCTGGGCACGCCCGAAAAAGGCGTGAAGCAATGGAAACCCCGCCTCCTGCACTCCCCAGCTGGGGTCTGCTCTAGGAAGGGGGCAATGGCAAAACAATTCTGAAACACCTTGCCTTGAAAACTGCAGGGACTTGTCCAGGCAGTCGCCGCAGGATCGGTCACGATTGAGTGCGGATTAAGAAAAAAAAAAGGATCTAATAGGTCTATATGATTTCTTTTGTCGTTGCCCCAAACAAATTTTTGCAGTATTGTTAAAAGATCTTTATTATAGGAAGTTCTTAATCAATGGAATATTATTTGAGTAAAAATGAAATGAAATCATAACCAAATTGTACTGCTTTGAATCTGCTATTTTAGCTTAAATGGAAAAAAATCCACATTTTTTTCTTCCAAGCTCCTTTGATTAATCAGTGGCTTGACATTTTCCCTAGTTATCAGCTGAGCATTCAACTGAATTGGTGTATTTTTCCCATTTTCTTTGGGATTTAAAAAAAACTTCCACAGGATTTAAAAGAACCTTTACACATTACTTTATCTGAGACCTTCATGACACATTAGAGGCCAGAAGACCATTCCACGGTATCAGAGACAGATTTCCCCTTTTGATAGTCCCAAAACTTTGATCTTTTAACTACAGGCAAAGAGAAGCTTGTGATTCTGGGCTACATATGTACTTTGATGTGAAAACCTACATTGTCTTTTACAAAGATTAATCTCTGTTATTCATAATAAGTTGTAATAAGCAACCTGAGAGAGATGTATCTAAATGTACTATAAAATACTAATAAAATTAGAACATATAAACTGTAATATAAAACATGGTATGAAATGTAACTGATGGTAGTTCTTGTTTCTGTATAAAATACTGACTTTTCTGGTAAAGCTTCATACTCCAAATATTACAAAATCCAGTGTAGTAACTAAAGAAATGGGAAAATGGGAAACGTCTTCAGGTGGCTGAGAGCCATAGGAGAAGAACCCTTATACTTTTATTGTTAGGCTTATCCCTTTAAAACCTGGTACAATCCTCAATTTATGACTACAATTGGGACTGGCATTTCTGCCGCTAAGTGATCCGGTCATAAAGCAAGACATCACGTGAACACATCACTTAGCCATGGCAATCTTGGCACTCCCCATTGCCATTGTTAAGCAAAGTCCAGTGGTTGTTAGCTGAGGACCCACTCCAATCCAAGCCATCCTGGGCTTGGTCCTTTCTAGCCTTGAGCCTCAGGTAAGGAATTGCCTCCAACTCCCCCACCTGCCTATCTCCCCTCCATCTCTGCCCTTTTGGCCGCCCTGCACCCTGCCTTGTGGGGCAGCAAGCAGCCCCAGAACTGCACAGCTCTGGGGTTGCTTGCCACGCTGCAGCTCGGGCTTCTTGGTCCTCCTTCTCCCTTTGCTTGTATGCACCATGCCCTCCTTCGCTTGCTTGCACATACCAGCGCCCTCCTTCCCCCTTTACTCAATTGCATGCATGCACTGCATCCTCCTTTACTTGTTTGCACCAGTGCCCTCCTTTACCCTTTGCTCACTCACATGCACTGTGCCCCTCTTGTCTCCTTTGCTCGCATGCACCACACCCTTCTTCCCTACTTCACTTGCGCGAGGACTCTCCAGGGTTGATTCTGATGTGCGCTGTGCAGCTCACGTTAGAAGCTGCTGGCTGTTTCTGAGGCTTTCTCCTTCCTCCTGCAAAGCCCCAGAGTCACAGCACAGCTGGAAGGGGGCATGGTGCATGCGAGCAAGTGAAGGGGGAAGGGGGTGCTAGTACATGCAAGTAAGTGAAGGAGGGAAAGAGGGCACTGGTGTGAGTGAGCGAAGGGGAAGGAGGGCACAGTGCGTGTGTGTGAAGGGGGAAGAAGGGTGTGTGTGTGAGTGAAGAAAGGCCAGGGCAGGAGGGGAGGCTTACCCAAGTGACTTGCAACCTCCCCTGCTAGCTTTCCCATTGATTTTGCTTGTGGGAAGCCATCAGGGAAGGTTGGAAATGGCGATCACATGATTGCAGAATGCTTGGCAACTGGTCATAAGTGTGAACAGGTTGCCAAGCACCCAGATCATGATCATGTGACCATGGGGGTTCTGCAATGGCCATAACTTTGGGGATCCATAACTCTGGGTATTAAAGAATAGTACCTGAAGGCAGGAGAAATATAGGATACAGTGGGGCAAAAAAGTATTTAATCAGTCACCAATTGTGCAAGTTCTCCCACTTAAAAAGATGAGAGAGGCCT